TACAAGAGAGTAACCAACAAAAAAGAAAGAGGGGAGATAAGGACGATAGATATTTGATAGGAAAGAAGGAGCAAACCGCACCGCAGCACCCACCAATCACCCACAGTGGAGAACCTAAATTTTTTTAAAATTTAAACAATCCAAGTTCAGAAACAGCAGTAACGTAAGGGAATTCGAACCAGAGCCATCCACTCTGTAGCTCAGCATGATATCAACTGAAAAAAAGTTAAACCTTCACACGATTTCTTTTGTTTTGAATGAGTAAAGAGAAGCACATCGACACAACAATGGTCATTTAGTGCTGACAGAAAGTATGTCAGACAGAGAGAGAAACAGCACGGAGAAAGTACAGAAGTAGGACCTACCAGTGGCGCACTCTAACACTATCTCTAATCACCCTCAGTCAGTAAGGTGCCTTTCTCAAGTACACAACGTCGGACTTTTACACAAATTTCCTCACACTCACATGAGAAAAAGGAGGAAAAATATGACCACTTACATTACAAAAGGTAACACTAACAACAAAGTAAATGACCAGTCCATACTGGCAAAAATCAGGACCGGTCACTTCTCTGGGCAGCGGGCCTACAAAAATAGTATAAACAAAACATCGGACCCAATCTGTCCATTGTGCAGAAAGGAGCCCCAAGATTTGGAGCACTGGCAGCATAGATGCCCCGCCACGGAGGTCCGGCGGTGGCATCTCTTTGGGGAGGATTCAGGGAGGTTGGACTGCCTCACCCGCTACCCAAGAGAGGCGGTGGCCCTGGCGAAGAGCACACTCTTCGAAGCTCAAAACATTTCAAACGGATAGGCTACCACACACGCACACAGTAAACGACGAGCATATGTTAAATAAAAAGACAAAAGGACCTCCGAGTTACAGAATGGACACTGTCAACTTTTAATTTGTTTGAAATATGTCAAAGGGTACACACACAAACAAACACACACATACGTACATACATATACACATGGCTGCCACATGATGCACAAACGACGCACTATACAATATACAATGTGTTTCCTCTCTGTGCTCTTCATCGTCATAAAAATCAAAACAGATACTTCACGACAACAACAAGTCAAGACAGTAGCGACGACGAGTCGGCCCCGTCGACCCTCGACAATAGGACCGGTTGATTCTCGACAGTAAGACCGGTCGGCCCTCGGGTCATCGTAACCAACCAGGCCTGTGCTCCTCAGCTGTGTTGTTGGGGGGACGGGGGGAGGGGGTGGGGGGGGGAGAGGAGTCCACGTCATCAGCAGAGGTCATGCCACTGACGCTGTTTTGCTTTTGTGTTTTTTGTTTTTGTTTATCAGCTGATAACTGACACCATCACCATCACCAGGCAGGCCCTTTCGTTTTAGTACATGTAGAGGGTTTTCAATTTACGGCGCTCGCAACTGCATAAAGTCATATGAGCGCCAAGGGGTGGGTGTCAACAGAGAAGCCTTTACAGGGAATCAGACTTACTCTGCTCACCTCTCTAGCTTCAACAGCACAAACAAGGTCTGCTTCGACTATCAAGGCACCCCGGAAATAGCAAGTCACAAGAGAGTGACAAACATACAAAAGAAGTATAGAAAAATGACAAAAGTAAGGATTAGGAAAGAAAAAGCAGCAGTTCCCTGTTGCAGATTAGGCACATTTATGAGCGTGACATGATGAATCAGCCCATTTACAATTCTACTGTGCTTGAACGAGAAAAGTCCCCCCTTTGGGAATGGCCTAAAGACACTACAGTCAGTGGCACCGTCCCGGGGGTAAGACCCTTTCATCATGGATCCTGGAGAGGAGGGAGGAGCAGCTATATGGCATTGTGCCACCTGCAATGATGCCTATTCTCCATCCAAGTAAGTAAAGTAAGTGTTTGTTTTGTTTTGTTTGAGTTAGCAGCAGAATCACATCGACACAATTATAATAGTGGTCATTTAGTGCAAGGATAAGGTAAAAGACAGAGAGACACACAGACACAGAAACAAGAGAGATGTAGGACCTGCCGGTGGAGCCCTCCTCCAATTACCTGCTCAGCTTGTTTGAGAGGTCAAGTCCACGTCATTAGAGGTCGTGAACCAACATTGTTTGAGAGGTCAAGTCCACGTCATCACAGGTCATGACCCAACATTGTTTGAGAGGTCAAGTCCACATCAAAAGAGGTCATGACCCAACATTGTTTGAGTGGTCAAGTCCACCTCATCAGAGGTCATGAACGAACATAATTTGAGAGGTCAAGTCCACGTCATTAGAGGTCATGAACGAACATAATTTGAGAGGTCAAGTCCACGTCATCAGAGGTCATGAACGAACATTATTTGAGAGGTCAAGTCCACATCAACAGAGATCATGAACTCAACATTGTTTGGGAGGTCAAGTCCACATCACCAGAGATCATGAACTCATGAACTAACACTGTCTGTGAGGACCTTCTGCTGGATCGCCTTGTGATTTTGAAATGGCACGGCGTCTTCTCTTTGCTCATCATCACAGGTCATGAATCATTGACTTTCACTTCAACAAGAACAGTAACGTACAAACGAGAGTGGACTATTGCCAGAAAAGTGGTGACTGAATCCACAGGGAAGGTGGACTATTGTCAGTAAAGTGGCGACTGAATCCACACAGAGAGTGGACTATTGTCAGAAAAGTGGTGACTGAATCCACAGGGAAGGTGGACTATTGTCAGTAAAGTGGCGACTGAATCCACACAGAGAGTGGACTATTGTCAGAAAAGTGGTGACTGAATCCACAGGGAAGGTGGACTATTGTCAGTAAAGTGGCGACTGAATCCACAGGCTTCCAATTACACACAAATAGTACTATCGCCAGAAAACTGCTCAACTTCAACCAACCGTTCTAAGCCAAAGAAAGCAAAGTTTCTCTAAAACACGGTTTAAAAATGCATAAAACATCTCTTCGTTTTAGTTAAGCAAGAGTTTTGTGGCACTTGCAATAAACATAGATCATACTGGTGCCAAAGATTAAATCTGAGTGTGTAACTACTAAAGAGTAACATACAAAGAAAAGAAGGAGAAGAGATAAGGACGACAGATGTTTGACACGAAAAAGGAGCACACATACACATCTCTCCATTTGTAAAAAATGCAAAAGGCAAAACCAGAAGTGCCCTGAAAATAAAATTACACTGCCTATCTAGGTTCATACCTGTGCCATAATTTCCCCCCTAACAACAGTCCCAATAACCACAATCCTGGCTCTGACCACACCGAAAAGGGGCAAAATGGAAATTGCAAATATCATATACAGTCTAGCACCCACATAGCAATCATACAGACACGTGTGAGATAGTGATAGCAAAACACACACACATATATCGCAGAAACTTTCAGGTGCCCAATTCTTTTCTTATACACGTATATTCTTTGTATCTTTAAAAATATATGTACATGGCAAATTTTGGAGAAAAAAAAATTCTGCGTCCCGCCAATCTCGCTATGTGCATGCCAGACTGTATTTATTTTGAAAAGCTGGCCATCACATAGTATTGCAACAGATTTTTTCTCTCCGTTTCCCAGAATCCCCAGGTACAATCTATAAGCACAGTCATCAATAGACAAACGTTGAACGTTGAACAAAATCTTAGCAAAAATGTACAACACACACACAAATATATGCACAATGGCAGAAATGCATTCCCCAAGATGGAAAGAAGACAAAACTTCTGATCATCCTGTCCACAGTTTTTAATCTCAGGTGTCCAAGACCAACAACCTACAAAAATTATTATTTAAAAAATCAAAACAAAACACGAACCTAAAACGTAATGCAAAGTGATAACTCGCTCCAAGGAGTGAGACAAAAACGCGGGTGATCTAGAGGAAAAAAGATAAAATCGCAAGCCTTCGAAGAGATTACGAGCAGAAGTATAGAACAGCAAACCCCCTCCTAATCATTTTGTTCATTCATCTTCACGCTCCATTCTGTTTGAAACTGAAGTGGTGGAGTAGATTCTTGGGAGGAGAGGGGCTGTATGGGGGGGGGTACTGCAGTCAAATCTTGCCCATACCACACCAGACGCTGAGCTGGTATGATCATCAATAAAAAAAAAAAATGCAGAAATGAACACAAGAACACACGCACATAGAGACCAGAAGCAATTTAACACAGCCCTACACTCCAGCCAACAGATAGGAGAAACCAAGACCCAAACACTTATCCCACAAACACATGTGGACACAACAACCATCTCACTCGCACAAATCTTTCCTTTCCCACACCCACAACAAATCAAACAGTCCACCAGAACATATTCCACAAAAGTCCCTTCCCACCATTATAAAACTTTCAAAGTCACAGCTTTTATTAAAAACACCAGTGCCCAGTGCTGTAAACGTGGGAGACGTAAGCTGTTGACAGGGTATCCGCAACATTGCCGTCATCTTTAAAAGTACAGTGTATAACGCAGTTGTCGCAATTTTACAGGAGAATCTGTAATGGATGTGTGATTTTCTGTCAACATGCAGGGTAATGCGGTAGTCCCGAGATTGAGAACTCCACAAACCTAACACCAACAAAGGGAAGTTTAGTTTAGTAAAAGAGTTTTACGGAGCTCGCCACAGCAAAAGTATAAGGTCATATGACTGTCCCCGTGGTTTTATGCACCCCACATAATTTAGCAAAATTTGATCATTTTTTGCATAATTATAATTTTTGATTATTTTCCTTTATCATTCATTCTTCGTTAAAATTAACACAATCGCATAATTTCACATTTTTGGGCTCAGTTTCCGTTTTTTCAAAATTTTTCTTGCATAAAACAACGGGGACAGATAAGAGCTCGCCAAAAAAGGGATATTGATAATAAAAATCCGCAAGTAGTAGTAGTAGTATAGTATAAGGTTTTACGGCGCTCGCAACTGCTAAGGTAATCCGCAAGTATTAGAAAATATCTGTCTATATAAGTAAGAATACACACTGTTCAAGCCACCCAGGGAGGGATGAGATGTTAGAAGAATCAATCATTACTATTTTTCCTGCTCCCTAAACAAGAGTGAAATTCCTTTTCGGAAAGAAAAAACAATCTATCCGTTTAGAGAAAAGAGTATTTTCAAACAAACAAAAATAATAAAGGACGGAAACGGACAGAAACAGACACGACACATACATACAATAGAAAACTAAATAGAAAACTTTAGAAAGGAAGAACTCATACAGACGATTACTGGCACCAAGTTTTCTCCAACAAACAAAGGACAACTAGAGAGAAAGAGAGTGAGAGATAATGAGAGAGAATGAGATAGATAGAGAGAGAGAGATAGAGAGAGAGAGAGAGATAGAGAGACAGAAAACTGGAACGGTCTCCACTACCAAAACACGAGGTGCCAACTGCAACATGATGGAAACTGCCCGGCCTTCTCATAACTGCAAGAACAGAATGGGAACAGGAATACAGCCGATTGAAATCTATAGAAACATCTGTAGGCCAAAAACTGGGGAGCACGTACAACTCTTCTGACAATCCATCGACTTTTTGTTCTGAAGCTGCCATACGGTCCTGTAGACCGCAAAATGATTGTTTGAGTGGGCGGAGGAGATGGAGGGGGGGGGGGCTTGAGACATGAAAAGTCGCAGAAAAAATAAAAGCAGGCACACATTTGATCAAGCAGACACACAACATATCCTAAACATCAAAGAATCTCAAAACGTTACTTTCTCACAAATCAAGTTTTGCATTCTACAAGGAGAGCGCGGCAACAGCCCCATTTCACCAGGAAGCAGACAGATAAGAGCTACAGATCCCAAAATGCAAAAGAAGTAGCAGAAGCAAACTACTACATACATTAGAATGTTTATTAACCACCATTAACCACCTGCACCTTTTTTTTTAAAGATACCCAACAAATACTTCAATAAACTGCATCGCTGTTGCAACATCCAGAAGAGACAGCTCATAGCATCACAACACTATCTGACAAAGTTATTAAGAGCTTCAAACGACATTTCCTCCAGGCTTCCTCCTAATTTGGCCAGACGACGACTTTCTTCCGACTCCCAGTCCAGGCTGATATAGTGGAGAAAAGGAATGCTGCAACAACCAGGGTGAGACCGAGCAAGCTTCATGCTTTGAAAAACCACAACTTTGTTTAAGGGTTTGAGAAAAAAAACCCAGGGAAATCACATCAGCTCCTTGTTAATAGTTCTCTACTGGCTCTGAAAGTCCCACTGTGTAGTGTACACACAAGTACGTACACACACACACACACACACACACACACACACACACACACACACACACACACACACACACACACACACACACACACATCCATCAGATTCACCCGTGTAATTATCGCGCAACATAAATCTTTATATGCACTCACATGAATACACATATGCAATCACCCGAAAAGCACATATGCACACACACATACATTTCAAATACGCACACATATATTTCAAACACACACACACACACAGACTTGATATCTACATGCACATTTGACATCCACAGGCATATACACCCAAACTCTGTGCACGCACACACAAACACACAAACTCATACTCGCAAACTCTGCACACACACACACATACTCGGAGAGCCACACTAGAGCTAGTAAGCCAACCAGCAGGCTGCACAGATTTAGCTGGATTTCCTTTTCTCCGCCAACCACGCGTCTATTTTCTCCTTGAGATCTGTGGCTGAGGAAGAGAAGAAAAAAAGATTGACAACATTATAGTGAGCAAGACATTTCGATGCTGCCATCACCGTTTCATGTCGGGCATAATAATAATAATAGATCGAATTTACATAGCGCGCCTCCATCCCATACGAGTATATCTTTGAGCGCTTTACATCAACCACATGTTCACTGAGCGATTCACCAAAGATAAAACATTTCACAGTAACAAAAATACCCACTTCAACCACATAAAGAAGAACTTTCACAACCAAACAATCATACACACCTAAGGAAAGCAGTAAAAAACAAAACACATCAGCGCTTACTAACACACTACAAGTAAGAATTAAACAAATGACAACAGTGACATTTTAGTCTGAGTAATTCTAACTTTAACCGTAAATGGTTTTTTGAAAGTTTTAGTAAGAGTTTTACAGCACTTGCTAAACAATAGGTAAGGTCAGATAAGTTCCAAAGATTAGATGCGTTACAAGAGAGTACCAAACACAAAATAAGAAGGACTAGAGATATGGACGTTAGATGTTTGATAGGAAAGAAGGAGCAAACCACACCAGCGCATCTGCCAACCACTAACACTGTAAATGTTCTGCATCCCCATCAACATAATTTAGACCATTTAGGAGTCGGTCTGCTCCAATCCTACCTGCAGGCACCAACCTGGGCTGAGAGGGACACAACACATCCCAGCAAACAGAAATATACTTGACCAAAATAAACCCACAAACCATCACACACAGAACCCCACACACAAACCCTCACCTGGTACCAGCTGCTCCTCTGTCAATGGCTGTCTGTTGAAGGGGTCGTTCTGCGAGTTGAGCAAGTGACGTACGATGATGGCCTTACCACTAACCACCACACACAAAAACCACGCACACCAATCACCACACACACAAACCCACACACTAACAAGCCCTCACCTGGTACCAGCTGCTCCTCTGTCAATGGCTGTCTGTTGAAGGGGTCGTTCTGCGAGTTGAGCAAGTGGCGTACGATGATGGCCTTACCACTAACCACCACACACAAAAACCACGCGCACCAACCACCACACACACAAACCCACACACTAACAAACCCTCACCTGGTACCAGCTGCTCCTCTGTCAATGGCTGTCTGTTGAAGGGGTCATTCTGCGAGTTGAGCAAGTGACGTACAATGATGGCCCGCTCCATGACGTTCCCGCTGGGCAACATCACCGGATTCTCCATCAGCGTATCCATGAGCGGATCTGCACGGGGGTGCGAGTGAAAGATAAGGGAGTGATCTTAGATTTCGCAAGAGTTTTACGGCACTTGCAACACATTAAGATCACATAAGTGCCAAAAAATAGGAATAATAACAATAATGATAATAATAATAGTAATAATAATGCTGATAATAATAGTAATAATAGCATTAATATAGCAAGCTTGCATAGTGTACCTTTAAACTCGTCCAGTATATTGCCATAGTCCGTCTCGGACTTGTTCTTCTGCGCCAGTAATGCCTAGTAATAATAATAATACTAATAATAATAATAAATGCACTAATATAGCAAGTCGTATATAGCGTACCTTTAAACTCGCTGTAGTCCATTTCGGACTTATTCTTCTGCACCAGGAAGGCATAGTAATAATAATACTAATAACAAAACTAATAAATGCATTAATATAGCAAGTTGTATATATAGCGTACCTTTGAACTCGTCTGGTATATCGCCGTAATCCATCTCGGACTTGTTCTTCTGCACGAGGAAGGCCTCCACTCTGCCCTGCAGCTCCCTGAACGTGTTCACCTCATCCGGGGTCTTGATGCAAGCCTTCACCATGCAGTCCATGGCATTGTCAAACAGCTCCTTGCGATACGATCTCTGCATGGAAACAGGAACAGCGTTAGCAGCCTGACGTGTTCATGACCTTATTACAGTACAGCACGGATAGGTCGAACACAGAAGACTCGAATTCACGCATTCGTCGAACTGCGCCTGCGGTCCTGGGTTGTATTTTTTTTTGCTTTTTTATCCCTCGAACTACGGATCCCTCGAACTACCGAGGCCAGTCCAGACAAATTCGAGCTATCCGTGTTATACTGTATTTACCAAAACTAAACTATACATGCTCTGGTATTGACACACTAATCTCACCTCGTCATTAGCGATGGCCTTGGCGAAATCCTGGCCCTTCAAAAACATGCACACATTAACACACACAAACACTATAGTAGATTAGCCAAACACATAACATCACTTCACGCAGCAACGACCTAATTTACCAAAACTTAAACTACACACTCTCTGGTATCCACACACACAGACACACACACACACACACATCTCACCTCGTCATTAGCGATGGCCTTAGCGAAGGCCTCACAGTTGAAGTGCAGGTAGATGTCTGAGAGCACACTGAGCCAAACACGTAATGTTGGGCAGCTGCGCACTCTGGTAACCCAACACATCTCGTCTCACACAGCAAAGAGTCAGTGACCTAATTTACCAAAACTTAACTATACACACTCTCTGGTAATGACACAAACATCTCACCTCGTCATTAGCGATGGCCTTGGCGAAGGCCTCACAGTTGAAGTGCAGGTAGATGTCTGAGAGCACACTGAGCCAAACACGTAATGTTGGGCAGCTGCGCACTCTGGTAACCCAACACATCTCGTCTCACACAGCAAAGAGTCAGTGACCTAATTTACCAAAACTTAACTGTACACACTCTCTGGTAATGACACAAACATCTCACCTCGTCATTAGCGATGGCCTTGGCGAAGGCCTCACAGTTGAGGTGCAGGTAGATGTCGGTGAGAACATTGAGCAGCTTCTTGGGCTCCCAGCCGTACTTGTCGGAGTTCTTCACCTTCAGGTTCTTGCACTTCGGCCCACACAGCTGCTGCAGGTTGAAGTTCAGCATGGCCGTCAGCCGGTCCGCCAGTTCCTGGGTGTGACATCACGAGATGATAGGGTTGTTATTTGTGTGTGTATTATTTGTGTGTGAGTGTGTGTGTGTGTGTGTGTGTGTGTGTTTGTATGAGTGTGAGCATGTGTGTACACCACAGGACAACAGGGTGGGGTATCAGCAGAGGAGCGTGTGTGCGTATGCATGCGTGCGTATGTGCGTACACGTACATGCTTGTGTGAACAGCTGCAAGATTAAGACAGAGAACGAGTGAACAAGATACACTTGTCCAATCACCTTTCGCTTAGTTTCAGTATGAGTTTTACAGCACTTGCAACACACATAGGTCAAACAAGCACCAACGATTATGAGAGATTCTATTGGAGAGTAACAAATATTTTAAAAAAGGTTACATATCAGAAAATAATATTTTCAGGGAAAGAAGGAGCAAACCACATTAAAGCACCCGCCTGCCCGCCCGCCCGCCCGCAAGGACTTTTGTTAGCCCGACTCGCAGGCATTTTGTCTTAGCAAGTGCTTTACGGCACTTGCAACACAATAAGGTCATATAAATGCCGAAGATTAAAGGTGTTACAAGAGAGTAACAAACACAAAAAAGACGGAGGGGAGATAAAGACTATAGATGTTCGATAGGAAAGAAGAAGCAAACCACATCAGAGCACCCGCCAACCAACCACCAAAAGATATTTTCATAGGAAAGAAGGGGCAAACCACATTAAAGAACCAAGCCTGCCCACCTGCCCACCCGCCCACTATCCACATGGACTTTTGTTATCCCGACTCACAGGCACGAGGAAAGGGTCGATGATCTTGGTGGAGAGGTAGTGGAACATCTCCACCGTCTCCGAGGCCAGGGTCAGGTAGTTGCGGCACTGGCGCTCGTCCGAGGAAAGCTGCCGGGTCTTGGACTGCTGCTGTTCCTGGAGGGAGGGAGACAGAAAGAGAGAGAGAGATGGAAGATGTGCCTAATGTAGTTCCTGATTTGTTCATGACAGAGAGAGGGGGAGAGGGAGAGGGGGAGAGAGGGAGAGAGAGAGAGAGAGAGAGAGAGAGAGAGAGAGAGAGAGAGAGAAAGAGAGAGGGGGGGAAGAGAGACAGGGGGAGGGGGGAAGAGAGAGAGAGGGAGAGGGAGAGGGAGGAGAGGGAGAGAGAGAGAGAGAGAGAGAGAGAGAGAGAGAGAGAGAGAGAGAGAGAGAGAGAGAGAGAGAGAGAGAGAGAGAGGGGAGGGGACAAGAGAGAGGGGGGAGAGAAGAGAGATAGAGAAAAATTGTTTTGGTAGGATTTTTAGATGATTTCAACGATTTTAAAGGCCTTTGGCACATTCATCCACACATTATGAAATATGACTCGGAAAATACATAAATTGATGCAGAGCACATCATGTTTTATATTCTTTTAGTGAGGTTTAACAGTGCTCGCAACTGCTTGTTGTTTGTTGTTTTAGTAGAGGTTTTACGGCGCTCGCAACTGCATAAGGTCATATGAGCGCCAGAAGAATAGAGGTGTTACAAGAGAGTAATAAACATAAAAAAGAAGAAGGGGAGATAAGGATGATAGATGTTAGATAGGAAAGAAGAAGCAAACCACACCAGAGCACCCGCCAACCACCCACCTCGCAACTGCATAAGGAACAGCACATCATAGAATTACATAAATTGGGGGGGGGGGGAGACAGACAGACAAAGAGAGAGAGAGAGAGAGAGAGAGAGACAGACAGACAGACAGACAGACAGACAGACAGACAGACAGACAGACAGACAAGACAGACAGACAGACAGAGAAAGAAAGAGAGAGAGAAAGAGAGAGGGGGAAGGATGGTGAATGGGGTTAATGAAGTTCCTGCAGAGCACCCTTGTACAACCACCCGCCCACCCACCTGTAAGGAGGGAGGGGAGGAGGGGGCACACAGGTGGCTAACTTACTTTGCTGAGGGCGTTCCACCTGGTCTTGTTGTCCATCAGGTCCTGCACCTCGTGGATGCGCTTCAGACAGTCCAGGCTCTCGTCCAGGAGGAAGGTGGTGTCGTTCATCAGCATGTTCACAAACCGCACAAACTGCTTGCCCGAGCTGAAATGAAAAAGAGATGGAAAGATAGAGTGAGGGAGAAGGAGAGAGAAGGACATTTTTAAAAATATTTTTATTGGTAAGAGTTTTATGGCACTTGCAACTGGATAAGGTCACATGAGCGTGCAAGACACATTAAACATTTTCAGTAGGTAGGAAATTTAGAATTTGGCCTGGGTGGCGGCCGAAGCATACTCATCGATTTTAGACCACCAAGGGATCTTTAAGGTGCGCATCTTGCACACGGGACCTTGTTCTAGAAGGCTAGGTGTAGATCTTTCTTTCCAGAAGATCAGGGGTGTTGCTGAAAGACAGCAGTAAGAGAGAGAGAGAGAGAGAGAGAGAGAGAGAGAGAGAGAGAGAGAGAGAGAGAGAGAGAGAGAGAGAGAGAGAGAGAGCGAGAGAGAAGGGGAGAGAGAGAGTGAGTGAGGGAGGGAGAAGGAGAGAGAAATGATCCTCACTGCTTCCTCCGAGGGGAATTAGGAAATTGAAAGAGGAAAAGAGGTCAACCTCTAAGGTACAAACCTCAAGAGAGATCAAATATGGAAACGGGCGACAGAAAAATCAAAGCCAAGTAAAGATACTGGTTTCAAGAAGTAAGAGAAAAAGGACATAACAGCAAAGACAAAGGCTTCCTTTTAGTTTGAGTAAAGAGAAGCCCATCGACATAGTAAGTCATTTAGTGCACGAAAAATGAAAGACAGACTGACAGAAACAACAGAGGGACAGAAAAGAAAAAACTTTCCAGCAGCTCCCCTCAACCACCCACTGGCGACCTCTGCTGAAGAGGCACAAAAGGACTGAATATAGCACATGACCCTCGTCATTTCCTTGCACACCGTCTAATCAACTACATGCACCAGTTGCAAAGAAAAAAAAAGTCCAAGCACAAAAACAATCTATGGTATTGACTTAACAGTATTCACCTTTACAAAAACAAAAACTTATCGAAGACATTTATTGCTTTCAAAAATATCTTTCATTTTTTCTAGTAACAGCTTTACGGCACTTGCAACACAATAGGTCATATAAGTGCTTAAGAGTTGAGGTGTTACAAGAGAGTAACAAACACAAAAAAGAAGAAGGGGAGATATAAGGATGATGGAGGATGGATAGGAAAGAGGGGAGAAAAACCACCAATTGAAAATGTCTTCATAACTTTAAAAATATACAAATGCAGGAAAACCATACTTAAAAATTCGCCTTCTTACTGAAGAACATAAAACCAAACAGACAAGAAAACAAAGCAGCTGGGAGGAGATAGAAGCGTGTTTGTACTCACGTGGCCTCCTCCATAAACTTGTGCTGATGTGCCAGCATTGTCCACATTGTCTTGAAGATAATACTAATGTGGTAACGGATGGTGAACTTGTCGTAGAACTCACTGCTGGCCCCGGTCGATTCAATGTCTGCACACGGCAGAAGGAGACAGAAGGGGAAATTCCAAATTGGGCAATAATAAAAACCAAAAAAAGAAAAGAAAACCCAAAAAACAAAACTACCAAACCTTTTCTTTGATCAAAAAATTCTAATCGCTTGTGGATGAGTCGTTGTGGCGACAGCTATGCTTGTGATATTGATAAGATAAAATGAAGTTAAAATAACAATTAATGGATCTCCGAAAAGAGAAAATTGCTGCAGCAAGGTAAATACGGGGTGTCTTAGGAGAGTAAATAAATAAATAAATATTTTCTAAAAATTAAACAGCAGTAACTCATCTTTACACCAATTTCAACACTATTTTGAATAAATAAAATTCAACCGGGGGGGGGGGGCGTTTCATTTGTCATTATAAAGAAAATCAACTGACATCTCCGAAAAATATCAAAATCTTAAATTTCAAACAAAATTGAGTGAAACATTTAATTTTGCTTATTTTAAATTCTTTTAAACGTTGGGAGGAGTGTATAGGAAGTGGTAATTTTCATACGGGTGACTGTCTTGGACAGGTGGCCATTAAAGTAGGTTAGGCAGGTGAGACCGTACCTGTGTAGAACTTCATGAGCGAGGGCACGAGGTTGTTGACAGCGATCTCCGACATGAGCAACTCCGAGTTAAGCTGCTCCGTCTTAGGCTGGATGCTGGGCTGCAGCACAAACAGGACCTCCACCAGCTTGGCTGTCAGGTACGGGTTGCGGATGTAGGCGGGCGAGCACAGCATCACCAGCATCAGCCGCAGCATCACTTTGTGCTCAGACTCCACCAGGCTGCCCGGCAGGAACCTGCAA